GGGGTTTTATGATCACTTATTGATAGTTTTGGGAGTTTTGAGAAATTTGCCCTATAATTTATGTTCATTCATCATCAACGTCATAAAATAAATAATAATAATAATAATAATTAATAAAAAATAAACAATATTATTTACCAGAATAGCCCTGAAAAAGGAAAAAAAAGGTTATTCCTTCTTACCTAAAAAGTAGGGGCACGGAGCACAAGTTACACACCGATTTGACAAATCTAAAAAAAAAAATAAGATACGAATACAAAAAAGATACATCAAATAAATAAATAGTACAATATTATACATTAAAAAAATATCGATCTTCTTATATTTTTCTAACAAAATGGATTAAAGATAATTACTTCTAAATAAGAAACAAAACAATAGGCAAGCTATATTTAATTTATAAACTAAATCAATTCAAAAATAAAACAAAATTGGTACTGATTTTATGCACCTTATTTGAATTTAGACGCAAGACTTATCGATGAGTTTGATTGGATTTGACATTGGTGTGATTTCTCTACTTTTCTTTTACTTCTATTTTTCTTCTGAATCTAATTCTCCCTTACATTATTACAGATTTGGCTTGTTTGGTGCTTTTATAATACTTTTATTTAGTTACAATCACCAATAAAGTTTTTAATATTACTTATTGACCCCTGCTCTATAAAACAAAAAATTACAAATTTGCCTAAAACGCAAGTATCCTAAATGTGTTCTAGCATATCCCAGCCGTATCCGATATTCAAAAATTTATTTTAAAAAATTGGATACTTCTCAGCGATATCGGACACGTATCCTATCGGATCCTGGACATTTTCGTATCGAATAGGTGTTCGATACGGCCACGTGGCCTCTTTTCGGAATATCAGTGCTAACAGCTTGTTACTTTCTCTAACTAAGCAGATCCGGCTCCTTTACTCTCTCTTAGTCAATATATATACAACTGAAATTATACAAACTGATATACAAGGCTGAGGAAATTATGCATAATAGTATACATCAGATCTGCCGTATTAACCAAAGACGATTAACTAAAAAGCAGCAGCATCATCCAATAACACCACCAAAGGCAAATTAACTAAAGAGCACCACAACTCAAAATAATAACTAAAAGATCTGCGTCATACAACCAAAGAATAAGTCAAGTCAAGAACAAAAGTAGCATCAAATTTGATAAAAGGCAAGTGAAGAGCAGGACAAGTCAAATTGACACCAACACAGAGTCGAAAGGCAGCACCCGACCCTCACAGCTTCAACAATCAAGTGCACCAAAGATGGATGGGCAGTAACAGCGACCAAATCTACGAAATGAAATCAAAATTGGTTAAGCAACCAAAAATACCACTCAACCATAGCATAGCTATGAGGAAATGAAAGCAAGCATTCGTTTAGAGATCTATGATCAATCTCACCAAAATTGAGCAAGGGCTGTCACTTCCTATATTGTGCCAATTCCAGTTTGAGACTATTACCGAAATGATACAATGTTCTTAATTGTCGTTACTATAGAACTTCACATGTTGACACACACACATAGATTATTAGGTACCTGAATGATATTAGAGACCAAATCAATCCCAAAAGGCATAATTAGGTGTTAGGATTTTTTATGAGCTTCCTCGAAATCATGATTAGAATGAGCCTTGTCATGACAGTACCAGGTGGCATCTGTTGCTTCTTTTATTCATCTTCCACGTCCACCTTCTTCAGGCTTGTAAAGGGAGAACCACTTGCCCGAAATTTCGAACTATGCTCTATCTCCATGCATTCCTGTATCTCCATGCATTCCTGTATATCAACTATCCTCTCCAGCAAGACTTGCATTGTCCATCAAATCATGCATACCTGTATATCAAGATTAAATACATGCAAATAATAAACAAAAGGTAGGAACTAAAAAATAAAGACTACTATTATTTTCTAATAATCTAGAAATTTTTACTGAAAAAGAAATTATGACATCTCATTTCTTCAAACTTGGTTAGGATTGGAAACTTGGAGAAACTATTAGTGCAAATTTCCATTGCTATGTGGTATTCCTTACCATGTATGTGGTAAATTAAATAAAGGAATTCAATCAATAAGCCCCATTAACTTTTTGCGGACTCTGCTACAAAAGCGACAATTAATACAAGATCGATGAATTAACACAATAAGAATGTGGAGGCTTCGACAATGGAGTATATAGAAGCAATATTTGAGCTCCTGTTAGTGGAAAAAAAGGGCACTTGAGCTCTAGCAAAATAAATGCAGCTCATACGAAAAAAATTTACTTGACAAGCCAATACAAGATTAACCATCTCAACAAATATGAGCTTCTCTTTTGAGTTTATTTATTTATTCATTTTTAGCCATCAAAATTCAAAATATGGTTCAAACAATATGATTTAATTAAGTTGTACCATGAATCTCTTAGTATTTATGAAGACATTCGACCTTACTACAGAGTGTGTTTTTTCCATAGAAGCAAAAATTGAAGCATTAGTCCTTCCCAGCTCTCAAACCAGAATTGAGGACTTGATGGGTATATATAACCATTATTAACATATATCTTCTTTTTTTTGATAAGTAACAATTTTATAAAGACGCTCAAAAGGGGAGCGGAATCCAAAGGACATACAAAGGGCCATAAAAGACCACTAAGACTTCAAAGAGGCCAAAAAATCGACAATCTCCTCTAAAGATCTATAATCTCTCCCTGACACCCAACAAAAAAGAGTGGAAAAAATAGAAAACTTATGAGAAGAAGTCGACATCTCTTTCCCATCAAAATATCTCATATTCCTCTCAAGCCAGATACACCACCACACACAAAGAGGCGTAGCCCTCCAAGCATCCCGAATATTATATATTGAGTAGAATATATAATATTCGAACATGATAAATATCAAATGTTCTGCATATTAGTAGTTGATAAGTCTTAAGTAAAATACCTCTGAGAAACTTTTTTGACTTTAATATGAGCCAAAAATTCTGTATCCAACCAATTTTAAGAAAGAAAACATGTAAGGAAAACATTTTGATTCCTTTAAAGCTTCGAAGATTGTTCTGTAATACATGACCTCAAAACCTAACGAGGAAACCAACTAAAATATCAAAATAATCAATTCATTGTTGTGTCGCAAAGGTATTAGATTACCTCGAGCAAAGATTGTCTCTCTAAGTTCAGAGATTGATTGAATGCATGAAATGGAGTCCTAACAGATTAATGGCCTCTCGACGTTTAAGAGATTATGAAATTGATCTTTCATTCATTCCTTTGACATGCTTGTATGAATTTGGAGCTTCAATTGCGAAATTGAGCCCTAAAATCCACAAGAATTATAGAACGATGTCTCCATGACTCCATTCGCTTCAAAATGAGCCATAATCTCGAAATCGTCTCAAAGTGGAAGAGTTCTTGAGAATGATGGGGAGGAGAGATAGAGAGAGTGACTACGCCCTAACAGAAGAAAACACAGAAAGAGAGAACATAGAAACAATCACAGTTACAATCAATTAAGGGGGGAAAACCATCATACGAAGACAAAATAGATTAGCAGAAAATAGATAATTACCGTGACATCCTACAATTTCCTAGTGACTTGCGCGCTCTCCACGCTCAACAAAACAGTAGTTTGGAAGGTCTGGTAATTTTCCTAGTGACTTGCATCCAGAAATGTCCAAGTATTGTAATTGTTTCAGTTCGTCAAGTCCCCAAATCTCACTAAGTTTCTCACAGTTACGAAGTTGCAGTCCCTCTAAATTTGTTAGTCCGGACAAATCAGGTGTCCTTTCCAAGGCCGTGCAAGATGACAAGTCAACCTCTTTTAGGAGTTCCAGATCTTTAAGTCTCAAGGTCTCAATAAGTTTCTCACAGTTACAAAGTAGTAATTTCCTTAAATTTGTTAGTCTTGACAGACCAGGTGTCCTCTCCAAGGCTGTGCACCATGACAAGTCCAACTCTGTTAGGAGTTTGAGTTTGTCAAGTCCACAAATCTCACCAAGTTTCTCACATTTGTAAAGTTGCAATTCCTCTAAATTTGTTAGTCTTGACAGATCAGGTATCCTCTCCAAGGCCACGCACCTTGACAAGTTCAGCTCCTTCAAGGATTTCAAAGCCTCAAGACCCTCAATCTCATGTATCTTCTGGCAGTGACGGAGATTTAATCCTTCCAGCTTTTCCAATTTGGATAGATCAGACAATCTTTCCAAGGATGTGCAACTACTCATATTCAAATCTTCCAAGGATTCCAATCTATCAAGGCCCGTAATTTCATTCAGATTCTTGCAACCTGCAATACTTAATTTCCTTACCTTCTTGAAGTTGGAAAGATCAGGTAATGTTTCTAGTGATTCACACCCATCTAAAAATAATTCTATTAGGAGTTCAAATCTTCCAAGGCAAGGAATCTCCCTTAATTCTAAACACTGTAAAACATGTAGACTTGATAAGTTTTTCAAATTTGACAGATCTGGCAACCTCTTCATTGACTTACAATCTCTAACATATAGTGACTTTAGACTTGAGGGAAGAGTTGGAAGGCATTGAAGTTGTTCACAATTATCTAAATTGAGATACGTAAGACTTGAGGGAAGAGCTGGAAGGCATTGAAGTTGTTCGCAATTTTCTACATCGAGAGACGTAAGACTTGAGGGAAGAGTTGGAAGGCATTGAAGTTGTTCGCAATTATCCACAATGAGAGACGTAAGACTTGAGGGAAGAGTTGGAAGGCATTGAAGGTGTCCACAAGTATGTAAACTGAGACACTTAAGACTTGAGGGAAGAGCTGGAAGGCATTGAAGTTGTTCACAATTATATACATAGAGAAATGTAAGCCGACAAAGGGCACCAATACCTTCAGGAATTTTCAACAGCTTATAGCATTCAATAATTTCCAACTCCTTTAGGTTCACCAGGCTAGGAAGGTTTAGAAATGTCTCCATGGACCTGCAAGTGACTTTTAGACTCACTAGACTAGAGGGAAGGTCTGGGATAAACTCAAGATTATTGCAATGCCCTAAATCAAGGGTTTGGAGGTGAGAAAGCCACAAATGCTTGGTAGACCACAGATACGTGTTGAATCTAATCTTAAGATTCTCAGAGAGGATAGTCCCCCAAAATTATTGGGAATTTCGCCTCTCAAACTGCAAACCGAGGCATGTAACTCTTTAAGTTTCAGTAACATTCCGATGGTACTACGTAACTTCACTATCAAACCAGATTCCATCTTAAGAATTCTCAAACGATTTAGGTTGCCAATAGTATCTGGCAATTCTGTAATGGCTGTTGATGACAAGTCCAGCTCAATTAATGATTCTAATTTCCCAATGGAGTCTGGAAGCTCTTTTAATTTGCAGCCCCTTAGTGACAAGCGTCGCAATTTCACTAGCGAACCAATTGAGGTCGAAATTTGAGTCAATGACTGACAATAAGTGGCACTGAGAGTTTCAAGCTTCTTCATAACTCCTCTACCAATAGGGACTTCTTCTATACAAGTACCATCGATAAGGAGTTCTGTTAAAGCTTCCACTTTATCAAATTCCAGAGGCAGCCTGTTGAGTTCAGCACAATTCTTCAAATTTAAGAAAACTAGACTCTTGAGATGCCCAATTGATGGGTCAATATCAACCAAATTCCAACAGTCTTGAAGAATCAATCTTTCTAAAGTTGCATATGAAGAGAAGTCAGGAGTCCTAACCATGTTTTTGCAACCTGTGAGATTTAGAACTTTCAATTTTGTTGCAATCTGCAAAATAAGGAAAAAGAGAATTGCTTAGAATCAATTACAGAGAATTATGTGATGAGACACACGAAACAAAAGCAGAGAAATTGATGAAACCTTGATATAATTCCAACCCTCCCAGTCTTCTGTGACCTTGCTCTCTGATAAATCAAGAATGACCAGATTCTTTAGATGAAAATTGGTTGGGCTAAAAATTTCAGGGCATCCTTTCCAGCAAAGCCATCTCAAATTTAAAAGAAGACCCTTAAAATCTCCATCCAGTTTTGTTAAGTCCATTTGAAGGAACCTTAGATTAGATAGGTTTGCAAATTCTTCATTTGTAAGACAGACAGCTTCAACCTGTGACTCTAATTCAAAGTCTTCAACCTCAGACTCCGATTCAGTGTCTTCAACCTGTGACTCTGATTTTAAGTTAAGACAGATAGCTTTAACCTCTGTTGTTCCCTGCCAAAAGAGAACATTTACATAAGTTGATAATTAGGGGGAATGATCTGCAAAAGGTGAGAATTTGAGAGGTAATCTATCATAAAGTGATAATTAGGGGGAATGAAATTTAACATTAATAATGAGATGAAACCTATATCAGGATGCTCAATAATTAATGTCCTTGAAAACAATGGTTTGGGTACAGCCATAAGTGGCATTTGCAGGCTATAGGTTTTTAATGGCCGACTTGTTGAGCAGGAGTGGCTCAATATAAGCTGAGGCCAAGGCAATACAAGAGAATATTCATGTAGTAATATAATTAATATTAATTAACATTCTATATTAAAATATATATATATATATATATAATATTGTTCTTGCTTCTTGAGGTGCAAAATTACAAATTTTTGTTAGAAATCTTGGTTATTTATTTACTAAATTATCTTCTCTCTTTTTTTTTGGTAATATTTTGTTTATCATTACAAGAGCTTCTTTTTTAAATAAATAAAACAAAAATGGTATTAATTTACCCAACCCCTTCTTTTTTCCTTTCAGAAATTTTTACTAATCCTAATTCACATTTTTAAATAAAACATATTTATAGATTAAAAAATAAAAGGTAAATTAAAGAACAATAGAACCGACCTTATGCAAGATTTATTGAAAGTGTTTTATTAATTATAAAAATGTAAGGTTTTCTCACCTTGAAATTAAATATAAAGATAATTAACTAATCTGCTTGATCATATAAAAAACATGACAAATTTAGAAGAATATGGAAAGGAGGAGTTGAGAGATATAACTGAAAACGTGTGAGAGGAGAAATTGCTGGAGATTCTTGACATTAAAAATCCTAAAATGGGCCAAGTAGAAAGAGAATGTATAAAGGGCTGCTTTTGAGTAGTTAATTGCACATACATAATTGTGTTAGTACGGTGACAAGAAAATTAATGCATAACAAGGACATCAGGAAGGAGTTGGATCTTACTGTATGCCTCTCCAATACGTCGATGGCTTCCTCATGAAACCACACCCTACTACGCATCCCCAGCTTCTCAACATTTTCTTGACGAACAATATCTCTACCAAGGTCTCTAAGCTGGTCATGCATCCTTAGCTCATTATTATCTCCAATTTTCACCAACGACCGGCGACGAAGAACTCCAATTTCTCTTTTGGGATAATTCCGCATGTGGAAAGCAATTCTTTTATCCACCCCAATGAAAATACATGCAATATCAAGAAATATCTGTTTTTGATCATAATCTAATGCATCGTAACTTATTTTCAGCTTATCCTGCACATCTTTATCCTTGATTCTTTTCAACTTCTTTATTGTATCTTCCCATTCCTCTTTTTCGATGCCAATAAAAAGTGAACCAATAACCTCCAGTAGTAGACACAACATCTATAGAGAGAGTAACATAGTCTTCTCGGGGATGGTCCCTTCCAAAAGCATGCCTGCTGAAAAGTCGAAGAGATTGAGTAGAATTCAGTTCCTTTGGTTCGTAAGTCCTACAATCTACCTGAGGCAGATTTAGGATCTCTTTGTTTCTAGTTGTGACAATTATCTAACTTCCTGAACCAAACCAATCACATTTTCCCACAAGTGCAAGTGCATGAAGCTGATTTCTGTTATCAGCATCATCAACGACAACAAGAACTTTCTTCCCAGAAAATCTGTGTTTGATTGCAATAATTCCTTCATCCATAGACCTAATTAAGACAGAGTGTCCCAGTTTTAAGATGCTAGACACAAGCTGGTTTTGCAAATGAACAAGTCCATTCTGTTGTTGTTGTGCTGTTGCTCTAACATCTTCAAGGAAGCAACGGGATTGAAAATGTTGGGAGAGTTGGTTGTAGATGACCTTGGCTATAGTGGTCTTACCAATTCCTCCCATTCCATGGATTCCCACAATCCTTACATCATTGGAATTAACACTCAATAATTTTATAATTTCTTCTACATGATCTTCAATTCCAACTAAGCATTCATCATTTGCATCCAATGAGTTTCTTTTCAGCTCTCTCCATACCTCTGAAACAACCTCCTTTACCAGTTCTCCTTCATGCCTGCCAAACAAAATTGATGTCACATATATCTATGGGGAAAACGATAAGTATTTATATGGCCTATTCTCATAAAACTGAAAAATAGAAAGTAGTTTCAAAATTCATTTGATTAACAATTTGTTAAAAGCTGTTGTTTGGTTAAACTAGTGTCTAATTCTAGGGTTTACTTTACTTACCAAAATAAAAAATAAAAATTATAGTGACAAATTTGAGACTGAATCAAACGAGTTCATAGTTGGTGCTAATAAGGAAAATTTGGGTAAAATAATCATAAGAATTAAAAGGTAGAGCAGAAGCAGTAAATATACACAATTACCTATCAGCAACTTCCCAACCCTTCAATTCTGCAACCTCCATCAAGGCTTTCTTCCATCCCTCCACAGTAGCACTAACATATTTCTTCTTGTGTTCCTGGAAGGCCTTTTCGTAACTCCCTGTTTGATGTCGCAAATTGGATGGTTTGACGTCGTAGAAAATGGGTTTTATGGTTCTCTCTAAAGTCCTCTTACACTCTACCATCTTGATGAGCTCAAGCAGGCACCACTTACTTGAAGCATAGTGTTCGGAAAAGATTGGTATGGATATCTTTGAGTGCTGTATAGCCTCGAGAAGCTCATCGCTTATCTTCTCTCCAGTGCGAAGCTCATTGTAGTCTCTATACGTGCGAATTCCTGCAGCCACAAGGTCGTTGTAGAGGTAGTCAGTGAAGGTTTTACGAGTGTCTGGGCCTCTAAAACTCAAGAACACTTCATAGTCGCATCCTGCTGCAGCAGGTGGAGAGGTGGACGATGGAGAAGTGTTGGAAGGTGGTAATGAAGAAGTGTTACTGGTCGTCTTCTTCTTCTTCTTCTTGATAATGAACACAAGAAAGGGGAGAAGAATTGTAGCAAGTGTGATGAGACCAGGTAGCCATAAAGGGTTCTTTGTATCCATTTCGAATGTGTTGAGTTTCAGTGGGATAGAAATGAAAATGATGAGAACCTAATGATAAGTTCCTGTTAAGTTTGCGTGGTTAGAAATGAAAATGATGAGAACCTTATCATTCTTCATTTCCACACGCTCTTTGACTTTCTTGTCTATGGCACATGATTCATGATGGTTATATGCAACCTAACTCTTTTTATACATAATTTCCACAAGCTCATCGACTTTCTTGTCTCTGGCACATGATTCATGATGGTGATATGCAACCTAACTCTTTTTTTACAGAGCAAGCAAAAAAGTAACGTACTTGATGCAGCAAGTGAGCTCACATGAATCTGCTTCAACGGTTCTGATCTCCAAACCTCTATCCCCCGTCCATGGACTTCACTCACCATCACCAATATTACGCCCCCAATTAACATGCCCTAAAACTGTCAACTTATGACCTATTAAACTAACGAATAACCCCCTGACATAACAAAAGCAAAGTTGGCTTTGATCGGGATGGATTTTATGCCAATTTTGTACTGCAAAAGAATATAAAATAAAAAATTCATTTTTTTTTTTTTATATTTAAACTGTGTAAAGAAATATTTACTCATAAGTCGTGACTTTCTTAATTAAAAACATAAGGTGTCATGAAAAATTAAAAATAGAAAATTCAAAATTAGAATATTTAGAAAAGATTGTAGGCATGTGTACAAGCAGCATCTAACCATATGCCCACACTCATTTGAATCTAAGTTGGCATGTATAATCAATCTATACTTTGCTTTAACTTCCACAATAAATTAACAAAAATAACCACTGCAATAGAAGTGGAGTCCAGAGAAGCTGCCCCAATCTCTGCAATTGATGAATTCTCATGAAAAGCTGCGTCAAAATTCACCTTTGATTGATTGTGAGACTTGTGATCAGCTTGGACTCTCTTGAATTCCTCCCATTGATGAAGTGGGGCAGCTAGGAGGATATCATTCTTATTTAAAACTTTCTCCTCAGACATCTATTGCTCGATTTCGGCCTCTCCAAATATTCCAGCATATAGGGGCAACTAGGCTCAAATATTGTACTATATAATCTTAGTTTTTCCACTGTTCCATAAAAAAACATAAGCCACTGCTGAAAAGTTAATGATTCAACACCCAGGCCACACCTTTTACATATCTCATCATCCAAAATTCCTTTGCTTTTTAAATGAGTGAGGACAGCTTACCTAGCTAGAAGTAGCTCCACAAGAAATGTATATTGCCTGTGCTCTGATTTTCAAAAACCTTGGAACAAAATATGGCCAGTACTGCTACCGTTTGCGTTTCCGTCAGAGTCCTTCTCGGTAATAGATTGGAGAGCACTGTGATAAGCAGATTTGACTGAGAATATGCAAAGCCGCTAACTATGTACATTCATTTCAACTGCATCTATCAAACAGTTGCATCCATCTAGGAGCAACTCTATGTGCACATAAACAACCAATGATAACATAAGATGGATTGATGAAAAGTTGAAAACCTTGCAACTAGCACTAATGTCTTGTTATAATCTACACCATCAATCCATGTTTAACGCCCTGGCCCCTGGAATAAGTCAATCTTCGAGTTCCCCACATATTCATCTACGTTCTATATTACCCTTTTGACAACCATATCGTGCTAGATACATCAATCTACAATATTGCCAAATGTAAAAACAGACCTTCAACCGAGTAAACCCACCTCCAGTGTATGTGTATTTTATCATAACTTCTTCAAATTGATTAAAAAAAATTCCTTCTTCTTCTTCTTTAATAGATGAGGTCTGCTTTTCTTAATCTTTGCATTGCAATACAAGGATCCATTTAGGACTACAGTAGTTTAGAAGTGACACTAGACTTCTATGAATAATACTCCTTATTCCAAAATTTCAGCCAAGGAAGAGCAAACGAATGCGAAACTCTATGATTATTAGTTAATGAGTGAGAAAAATACTCAACGAAAGAATGCAAGCTCATATATGGATTCCCAGATTGTTTCAATATTTCCTTTTGTCTAATCTATAGATGAGTTTGACAATGTAAAGCATTCAGTGTTGCGGGTGTTCGCTTATGCGTTAGAAGTTTTCTCAATGGCAGAGTTCCTTAAGGAATACTGATTCAGCAACTTCTATTATTTTTAATAGGGCACATTTTTTTTTTTTCCGATTTGTGGCTTTAGTGCATTGAATTACGCTATGCTAACCGTCAGTTGGTCTTTAAGAGTATCAATTTCTGGAGCTAAATTCTTGGGTTGCTTAATCCTCTTAGACTGGTCAAAAGCTACTCTAGGACTCTTTTATTTGATACCCTGTTTGTATTTAGCAGCTTTTTGTGGCAATTTAACAAAACTACTTTTTGTGCTCTAATTTACAGTTTATTCAATATGTATAATTGTATCATCGTGTGTTTGATCAAATTATGATGTAATTAAATTCTGGAGCAAGATTTTAATAATATGAGGCAACTATATTTAGTAGCAGGCATTTAACAGCATAAAGCCCTTATAACAAAAATAATATGATTTTCAACAAACATGCATGTACAGATAGGGCAGTAAATGAATCAAACGTTTGACGAACAATTCGGGCTCGGCTCGCTAAAAGCTCGGTTCGTGTTTTGTTTAATAAACAAACCAGTCTCAAACAGATTTTTAAAGCTCGATTAATAAACAAATCAATCTCAAACAACCAAGGCCAGCCCTGAGATTGACAAAATATTGGGAGGCCTTAGGCGAACTTAAATGTGAGGCCCTTTAATTGCTGAAATACACACTAATATACACATAGAGTAGTAAAGGGCCATATTCAATTTCAAATTTAATCTCCAAGTTTTTCAGGGCCCTAATTTTGAATGTGCTGTGAATTCGTTTAATCGAAGGGTTGTAAGCAATTTTTTTTTTTTTTTTTTTTTTTTTTTTTTGGACCTATCACTCATGGAAAGGGGCCTAAGTTTTTTTCTTTTTATTTGGGCCTATCACTCATGGTAAGGGGCCTAAACTTTTTTTTTTTTTTTTTTGAACCTATCACTAATGGGCCTCAAAATTTTGAGGCCCTCTAAATGTTGAGGCCCTAGGCGACCGCCTTGGTCACCTTGGGCCGGCAAGGCCGGCCCTGCAAACAACCTCCAGCTCGGCTCGTTTGTTCATGAACAAAGCTCGTAAACATGTTCGCAAACATATATAATAATGTATATACACATTAATAGACATATATTAACTTTTTTATTTTATAATTATGAGTTCAAGCACTCTTCTAAAGACTATTTAATTTTATTTTAATTCATAATTAAGCCCAACCCAAAAACAATCCAACCCAACTAGGTTAATTTATTTTTATCCCTTTTAAAATAAAACATCTTAAGCCCATCTATTTAAAGGCCCACGGTCCATTTGCAAATTGGTAACC